GGGGGGGGGGGGGGGGGTAGGGGCTAACGGCGGGCGGACCGGACGGGGCGGGAAGCTGCGGGGGCAGTGGCGATACGGGCAGCTTGAGACCGACTGGTGAGAGTGTGCGTGTTGCCTACCGTGGGTTGCCGGTTCCGTCGCCTCTCTCTCAAGCTCGACAGGGCGGTTCTGGTCAATACGGTAGTTGGGAGAGATCCGGGGGTGTGGGGCGGAGCGAGAAGCGATGGCGGCGAGGGAGACCGAGCTGTTGTAGTCCAAGGCTTGGTGGGGATGTGTTGGGTGCAATTTTGGGGCGAGACGGGGAGCGAAACGCGTTGAGGTGCTCGTTTGGTGCCTGGCTGACTCTTGGCCACGCTTCCCTTGATTTTGTTCGGCGCCCCTCGAGTGTTTGTCTTGATATATCGAACGGTTCGTTTAGTCTGCCCTCCTGCGTTTGAAGTTCAGACCTTCCTGTGTGTTGTGCTAAATAGCCCAAGCCTCGTTCTAATTGAGTGTACCTGTTGTGGTTGCGTGGTGTGTGACAATTGGCGCTCTCTCGCGTTTTTTTTTTTTTTCAGGGACAACGGATCGGAGTTTTCAGACGGGGGAGTGTACGAGGGCGAGGACGATGACGACGATGGCTGGGGTAGCGAGGGCGAGTGGCAAGGGGAAACGTCAAGCGGGTGAGCCGTTACACGACCTGCTGCAACTGCTGTTGCCGTCGCCGTCGCTGTGATCCCAGCACTGGACGCTGCTGCTGCTGCGGCGGCGGCGGCTGCAGTTGATGTTGGTGCTGCTGCTACGGCGGCTGCTGCTGCTGCTCCACGGCTGCGAGTGCCGTGCTACGAGCTATGGGTTGGTTGCTCTGAATCATGATATACGACGATGCCCCACCCACCACCACGCGGAATCCTCATCATGTATAGTTGAAAAACCAACGTTAACATTCGCAGCACCGACTACGGAAATGTTGCTCCCTTGCTGCCTCCTTCCATCCCCTCAAGACCTGAAGTGCCTCGCACGTGCATGTCAAAGTACTGCTGTATACCCGCGACCCCCCCCCCCCCCTTTTTTTGCTCCCTGGGAAACTGTCGTGAGCGTTTGGCCGCGTTCATTTACAAAAAATTCGACTGTGGTTGTAGGTTAGTGTTTCAGCGTTCATTTTTTAAGGAGTTCGACTGTGGTTAACGCGAAGTCTTTCTGTGTTCGTATGTATTATATGTAAGTTCGCCGCTTTCACGCACCGTTGGTCACCCGAGACGCCCTCCTCCCCTTCGCTCTGTGGCAGCGTTGGCATGCCACCGTCGCCTTCTGAAGGGGATCACTTCCAGGCAAGCGCCACCCCCAGGTTGGGCAGAAGGTTCATGCAGGATTCCCTCCGTCGACGTGCGGGGGACGGCGGGGCGCTCGGCACAGGCGGCGGCGGCGGCGGCGGCGGCGGGGCGGGGGGTACCCGTGGAGACACGGGGGGGATACAGCTGGGGCCGATGGGGAAGAGCGGGCGGGGCGAGGCTAACCTGATTTGACTTGTAGTTGCTGCTTGTTGCTGTGGTGGTTGTTTGGCGGTGTGCGACTGCTGTGTCGGTAGTCGCGATTGATTGGTGTTGCTGGTGTGTCTGTTGCGTGGTTGGGCTTGGTGCGTCTGGTGGGGCCGCTATTGGAAATTTGACGGTGGTACGTGTTGTTGACGGCTGTGTCGTCCGCCCTGTTTCGAGCTCGGAAGAGAATGGAGAAAGAACGGGCGCGAGCCTACCAACACACTCCTTGTAGATTTCTAAAGATGATTTGGGTCTGCGGTTGTCAGTTGTGGTGTACAGCAGGTGTGTACTGTTGTTTGTATAGTGGGCCGATTGGTGTCTGGTTCTTGGAGCTAGTTAGACTATGCATGATAGTGCTCTGTCGTTTTTATGTTTTGATAGGGTTCGGCGCCGTTTTTTGTGTCTGCACTCGGTCGATGTCCTCTTCCCATGGCCAAAATACCGGCGAATTTTCTGGCATCATCCGTGTTTTCTCTCTTTTGGGGTGAGAAATGCAGGGCTACACCTCGCGATTTAGGTGAAACTGGAGGGCGTGCACGTGCATGCGCCGAAAAGGCGAACGTCAGAGTGCCCGGCGACTAGCCTAGCCAAAAATGCGCCATTTCGATTCTCAACGATGGTAACAAGACGCCCACAAGGCCCCTCTGCAGAGCGCAGACAACGATGTTTTCGAGATCGGGCAACACTCTGGGCAGAACTTTTTCCAGCCTACAATAGCGGCAACGGGACGCTCCCGCGTGCAACGCAGTATTTGATTCTCCCTCTTCCGTGGGGAGGGGTAACCCCCCTCCCCCAGATCCAATTGACCGAGGCAATTGAAATGCTCATGTATGTTCTCGGATGAAGTGTGGCGCCGGCGGCCGGGCTCAATTCACCGTGCCGAATTTCTCATGTTTCCACAGGTGTATCTTTGTAGCTTGAATTCAAGACCGCGTACCAGGACCCTCACATATTCGGATACCGTTATGTTGCGAGTCACCGCACGGTCCGGAGTCATCGCACAGGTGGTGCGATGCACACTAAATGGCTTACGATTTTATTCGATTTTCGCACAGGGTCCGGAGTCACCGCACAGACAGGCGTGCGATGGCTCGCAACCTACAGTAGGGTAGTTGAGTGCCAGCGACTTCGGGACAAGTTTCACCCCTGCAACCATGCCAGTGCTGGCATGTTAAGCTGTGCTGTATGGGTAGGTCATCGTCGCACACCACACACACGCGGAGGTATGAAGGAAATGACATACATCGGTATTTATTTCCATTGGATCGGTAAGCTTGAACACTACTATCCATTCAAACAAAACTACCGCGTCCCCAGACAAAAGGTCGCCACCAGTAGCAGCCCCTGAGATCGCGCGTTACCCCCTGTACTTGAAACCTGCGATATGATGCCCAAGTGATTGTGTGTCGCGTGTAGGCACAACTCGACGACGGGAAAAATATGTTTCCCCCCCGCGGGAGTTCGTATTTCGCCGTTTTTTGGTATGTGTGTGTGTTTTTACTAGTATTAGCATCGACCGCGCTAACCGGCTGACCAATGAAAAGACGTTAGTCTCATTTTGGCGTGTGTTTTTATTATTATTAGCATCTTGGTATGTATGTGTTTGTGTGTGCATTGAGTATTAGAATCGCGTGTGTGTCTACGTTGACTGATGTGCACGTGTAGTCTATGTATGTGTACGTTGCGTGTGGAGCCTGCAACCGCAGCACAACTGAGGTGTCCGAGCATCTGCAAAGTTTTTTCGAGTGCGACCGCACACATAAAACTATATACCGGAGTTATCGCACAGGGGTGTGCTTTTAAAATTCTTGAAAATATGCCTTCAGGGTTTACGAACTCATGAACGCACAAACTGTGGAGTAATCGCACAGGGGTATGCATTATATATCAAAACCAAATGACTTCGTTCGATTCCCGCACAGGGGCCGGAGCCCGGAGTCATCGCACGGTCCGGATACATCGCACAGGGGGGGGTGCGATGAAAAATTAAAGCGCGAAAATGTAGACTAGTCTAGATAGACTACTAAAAAAACAATAAAACAAAAAAGGCACTTAACCTAACCACTTCGTTCGGTGGAAAGCGGGTTTCTGTTCGATACGGTGTCGGGAGTGCCGAGGGGGGAGGGCTTGGCCCTTGTGTCTGGAGGTGGCAAGGAAGTAGGAACAGGGGGTGGCAGTGTCGGAGGTCTGGGGGAACATGGGCTTGAATGGGGGTTGCCTCAGAAAGAGCAAGACGGCGGGTGGGTGTTGCTTGGTGTGACCGGTGGTAATATCGATCAGCAATGCCGCACAGACTTTTGCGCGCCGAAATATGCGTGCGACANACAGGGGGTGGCAGTGTCGGGGGTCTGGGGGAAGATGTGCTTGAGTGGGGGGTGCCTCAGAAAGAGCAAGACGGCGGATGTTTCTCTCTNCCTTGTGGCTGGAGGTGGCAAGGAAGTAGGAACAGGGGGTGGCAGTGTCGGGGGTCTGGGGGAACATGGGCTTGAGTGGGGGGTGTCTCAGAAAGAGCAACACGGCGGGTGTTTCTCTCTTGGTGTGACCGGTGGCAGTATCGATCAGCAATGCCGCAAAGACGTTTGTGCGCCGAAATATGGGTGCGACAGCTTTAACCTAACCACTTCGGTGGAAAGCGGATTTCTGTTCGATACGGTGTCGGGAGTGCTGAGGGGGGAGGGCTTGGCCCTTGTGGTTGCAGGTGGTAAGGAAGTAGGAACAGGGGGTGGCAGTGTCGGGGGTCTGGGGGAACATGGGCTTGAGTGGGGGTTGCCTCAGAAAGAGCAAGACGGCGGATGTTTCTCTCTTGGTGTGAACGGTGGCAGTAGTATCGATCAGCAATGCCCCACAGACTTTAGGGCGCCCGAATATGCGTGCGACAGCTTTAACCTAACCACTTGGGTGGAAAGCGGATTCTGTTCGATACGGTGTCGGGAGTGCTGAGGGGGGAGGGCTTGGCCCTTGTGGTTGCAGGTGGCAAGGAAGTAGGAACAGGGGGTGGCAGTGTCGGGGGTCTGGGGGAAGATGGGCTTGAGTGGGGGGTGCCTCAGAAAGAGCAAGACGGCGGATGTTTCTCTCTTGGTGTGACCGGTGGCAGTATCAATCAGCAATGAATGCCGCACAGACTTTTTTTGCGCGCCGAAATATGCGTGCGACAGCTTTAACGTAACCACTTGGTTGGGTGGAAAGCGGATTATTTCTGTTCGATACGGTGTCAGGGGTACCAGGGAAGACGGAGCCGAGTTTTGTTTGATTTCGGATGGATGAGGTTGGGGTTTTGTCCGTTTTTCTCCATCTAAGAGTCGTGCCTAGAGTTCAGCTATTGCAGTGTTTCAACCAAAGTTTTGTTGACTTAGAGGCAAACATTAACATTCCTAGCTATTGGGAGTTAATTTGGCTTGGCATGACGGCCTTTACGATCGACTTTTTATGTATGTCTGCATTTATCTGCAATTGTCGGAGGGCAAACAAAATAATAATAATAAAGGCACCTCAGGGGGGTGCGTGACTGACGTCAGACTCGTAACCTTGCGGTATGCGGGTGGTCACCTAAATCTATCCCGTTTCGAAATGTTCTCATGAAGATATGTATGGGCGTGTGCTGACCCCCCCCCCCTAAGTTGCATGTTTACACGCAACCCCGTCAAGCAACAAACATACACGTTTCGCCGTGTGTGCTACCACCTAACACCTACTACTTACTACATCGATCAACGCTCGCCAACTCGCCACCAACACCATGACGTCTACCTACCAATTTACAGTCGACCCCACTTTGCGGACGCAGCACATACTACATGGTTTTTCCTGAAAGACAGTATCCTTATTAAAGCGAAGTTGCGTCTTAAAAATCAAGGGGACGACAGCTCACCATTCCCGGGGCCAATGGAGGCATGCTATAATAATACCTCAAACTACTCGTCTTTTGCTCAGTAAGGGAGAGGGAGGGTGGTACGAAAAGTCAGCATCGCCGAGGGAGAAGATTGGTAACCGTTTGTTGTTTGTTGACGAACATGTATGTTGAAAAAACTTGAAATGAGATGTACAGCAGTCAGGGACGTGTTGAAAACAACTACAGCAGTACACCAGGTTGTACCTTGGCCAACTTACAATGTACGTACGTAGCCGGCAGCGGAATGAATGATGAATGGAAGAAGGAGGAAAGTCCAAGTAGACATATACATATAGATAGCTATATATATAAATTTATCTCATCATTCTTGTGAAACGTAAAAAAACGAGCGTACTCGCCACCCGTTCCCTTCGCGTACAAGTACAGACAGTGCCCGCAGTTAATTCTGCTGTCTGTGCGTCGCTACTTTTGCACTCACTCTGTTGTTGTTGTTGTTGTTGTTGACTTCACATTAAACCGTATGCCAGTTGCTAAATGCCAAAATCTAGCAAAGATTCTCGGCCCGTGGTCACGAAAGTGCTGGAGCCATCTGAGGATCTAAAGAACACGCACACGTAGCAAGAAAACGGTGTACAAGAGCCCGAAGAGGTACTACTACACCTATATATAATCCCTGCAGCACCGTACGCGTGCCCAAAACTGAACTACACGTCCGTCTCACCGTTCGACTACAGCAACATCACCCCCTACTTGTCCCACTCTGTACCAAAGCGAATGATTGCAGACTACAACAGCATACTTACTTGCTGTCTGAAGTGCTGTCTGTACAAAAACACCATGGTAGGCATGGAACAAG